CTCTCTCTCTCTCTCTCTCTCTCTCTCTCTCTCTCTCTCTCTCTCTCTCTCTCTCTCTCTCTCTCTCTCTCTCTCTCTCTCTCTCTCTCCAGACTGCCTTCCTCAAGCGCTAACACTCCGCAAGGCTCCAGCACTCCAGAGAGTGCAAGGCAGAATGAACGACGGTGCTGAGGCAGGCCGGTCTTCTGCAGTGTTCCCTCAGGCCTGCTTGAACTCCTTGAATGGCCAAGATTCTTTGATTCTGTGTCCCAGATTATGCCGGGATCAGTGTGTACCTTGAACCGGTGGGCTCTGGATGCTTCCTGACTTCTGGAGACATCTTTGACTCTTACTGGGACTGCTGTGTCTGGTAGGACCTGACTGTTAACTTTCCTAGGGTCTAGACCTGACTGCTACATGCTCTGGGTACCACATTTCAACCCCTAACCCCAGGCCTACCGACCTAAGGACCTCCTAGGACCGTCTGTCCTTGACAACCGAGAGGGCATACATTGTAAGGATCAGGTGGATGAAAACACGGAAGACCTAGCTGAGCATTCTCAGTGTAACAATTGCCGTGATGGCTGGCATTGAGCATGCCCACCATACACTCCCAACAAATGGCATGTCGATTGCAGCCCAAAATGAAGGAACCACAGTCACCATAAAAGACCGTGCATTCAGTATAGCGCCCATGCCTGCGAAATGGACATATATAGTGTCCGGATGCAGAGGGTGCCTGCAGTCAGGAACGGATGGACAGTCCGCTGCACACATGGATGCAGAAACCATGTCATTGTAGTGATTGTGACAGAGACGATGGCAGCTGCAGCCAAGTGAAACAGTGTTTGTAGCCGTGCAAAGGAAAAGGTCGCAGAGTGTTGGTGCATTGCCTTGCTGCAGCACGGGGCCAGAGGAATGATCTTCGACATAAAAGAGATTGTCGAAGGTTCGGTGTGGCAAGAAACAGCATCATAGTGACATCAGTCATGGCATGGACCATGGTGCCGTTGTCCCATGGCTCCCAGTGGTCAGACACATGTACAATGGCCATATAATGGCCAGGTTCGTGCACAATGCAGGCAGAGATGTGGGATGGAGGATTAAACCATTCACCTGCTCGAGCAATGCGCAGTTCAAGTTGGCAGTCCCTCATTGCTACTTGTAGGACAGCAATGGTAAAGCCTCTTTCCCTGGTATAATTACGATCCTCGGGCTGTAGGCCAGGAAGATCAGCATCAAGCTGAAGGGCAATTGCAAGGAAGTCTGACGGTGTATGAAACGGATGGTGGAGAATGTGAAGACAGACATTAGTTGCAGTCAGACCACAGAGATCGGTGGGTATCTCAGGCTGGTGTGCCGGATGCTGGCCAACAATTTGCAGATCACTCAGATGGTGTTGCGAGCCCAAAAAATGTCTTGGGTTGTTTAACGGTCAGTCATTGCGGACCACCCATGTGGTCTGCGTGTGGTGAGGTGCAAATTTGTGGTTCATTCAAACGATGCTGGTCAGCAATTTGCACTAAAAGAGCACACTTTGTGAAACAAACGATAAAAAATGAACATGAAGAGCACACACACATTTTTCTCATTCTCTTTTTTAACTCCTCCTTCACTGTGCCTCTCAAGTACAAGGATTGCCACGTTGATGAAGTTGAGTGAGAGCTGCCCGCATCCCCGTGTGCAAATATACATATATTTATTTATTTGTATTGTATACGTATAACATATATATCGTCAAACAGAACTGCCCAGCACACCGTACGCAGAGAGGGAGAAGAGGACAACAAACGATGGACTGTGACAAACTGTTTCGTTGGAGTTCCACCGACTCACTCATCACGAGGCTGAACCTCAACAGTCTGCAGAATCCCCTAACTGATTACACTGTAAGTGATAATCCACCTTAGCCCATCCGAGCATCAACGACTGCCCAACAACGGATACCTTGAGGAGCGCACCGACCACTGTCCTCAAGGTACCTGTGACGAAAATCAAAGCAGACTATAAAATCAAAGCAGACTCTCACTCACCCACACCAGATGGAAAACTCTACAGACTGCAGGTTCACGCCCCATCACAAGCCAGCAAAACACCCACGAAACAAAGAAAGGTATGTCACAGTTAGAAAATACACTCCAGACACGCCACTGGCACTGGAGGCACAGCATGGCGGCGTAGTGACGTCCCCGACTACTGACACTCGACGTGACCAGAGTTTCACCGACTCATCAGGAGGCTGCACCCTCCTCTACAGTCTGCAGAGTCCCCTAACTGATTACACTGTAAGTGATAATCCACCTTAACCCCGGTTGTGGTTAAGCATCAAGGACTGCCCAACAACTGATACCTTGAGGTGGGCACCAACCACTGCCTTCAAGGCACCTGTGACGAAATATGTGTATTCCTTTTTATTTTGCTGATATCTTTCTAGTATGTCCTTATTTGAACTGTATGGCCTTTGCGATAGTGGGCCTCGCTCCACTACTCACCAATTTTGCAAAACGAGAATGAAACTTCAGCTAGAACACGGAAAGATACACTCCCATCGTTTAATGAATTATTACAAGTTAATTAACCCATGGCTTCCAGTCAATTATGTGGCTTTTCAGGCCAACTAGTGACAAATGAGAGAGAACAACTGACCCACCAGTTCGAACCCGGGCATGCCTTTGTTCACAATCACTTGGATACCAGAGAGGGACGAGCCGTCATTGACCTGCAAACCAACCGGATAATCAATAAGGCAGCAAAGTCAGAAAAAGAGAATGACAGAGATCTCAAATTTTCAAAGGAAAAGAAAAGGGAGAACGGATCCCAACTACCTTGTCAAAGATATAACTTCCTTGGGCCTTATGAATGTTTTCTGATTATTTGAAGAAGAAAAAAAGGCAGCTATGCTTTTTTTTCTTTTTTTTCTTCAGAAACTGCTCGCTTCTGGGCCGCTACTACTCAGGGTGATAAGAGCATCCACATTCTTAGTAGCTCCTAGTTCTGTCCAGGATCTATCTATTGGTGGGGAGCTTCAACTGCTGGAAAGCAGGTCCAGCGTCCCATTCCATGACCGCATATCTTGTACTTGTGGTTGGCCCTGTTAAGCAGCATTGATTGCCTGATGTTTCGGGGATTAACTGCTCGATTAGACCTGTTATTCCAAGTTACAGAAACAATCCTCTTCTTTCCTCCTGGAATGCATGACACCCCCCTTTATGGGAACCCTTCCCTCCTTCCCGGACCATATGTTAGTTACATCTACGTCGCCTTTTCCCTTTTGAGCTCCATCGTCTTCATTGTAGAAGATCCTTTGCTTGGCCAGCAATCAGGGAGGGTGGCGGGGCTGGGGCAAGGGGGGGAAGGTCAGTTGGACAGGATGGGCAGATGGGCAAATGGTTGGGTAGGCAGTTGGGATGCGGACTCGCATGGTGGTGTCATGAGGATGAAGTTGGTTGGGAGAAGGGGAATCGTGAAGTGATTGATTGGGAGGCTTTCCTAATGGGTTCCTGAAGTATGCCATGGCTTCCAGATGAGATTGTTTAGTTTGGTTTTGTCATTCCGATCTGTTGTTGTTTTTACTACCGGTAGTTCCAGTTTCAATCTTTTGCCAGGCGCTCTAGAATTTTGTGTATATTGTCTCCAGCAATGACGTGCCGTCTTTGCTTGCATGAACCGATAGGTGTATTGCTGCTTTCTCTCACGTGAGCATCTTGCTTTCCACGTAGTCATCAGCACTGCCAGTCTCGTATATTTGAATAAGTACAATGTGAAGGCTGACCATTCATTCTTATTTTGGGGGAATTTTCCTAGAAGTAACGACTTCCTATGTCAAGGCACATGTGTGCCAGTCAGGTGGTGCCAGGCCGTGTCCCGCCGCCTCCATATCTGGGATGCCAGTGGGCAGTCCAGGAGGCAGTGCTCAGGCGTGACTCGCTTTTTGGTCGTTTTTAAGGCCACAGATCGAGCAAAAAGGGGCGACAGTTTGCCCTTTTGTTCCAATTTGGAATGTCTAACTAACTAATCAGGGGTTGCTTGAAAAAATTAAAAAAAAAAAAAAAATCAGGGGTTGCTTGGCACCTACCATTGCAGGGCCCTGTGATTAGTAGGTTCGATTATTGAATATGAGTCCCTTATATTTCCACTATTCTTCATGCCCATGTGCACAGATTTCCTTGCGGATCTAGAGCCCTTCTTGACAGATACTGCCAAGCAGCCATCTTCTGTTTTTCCTACGTCCATTCACATTCTAGAGGGTCCAAAGGGGAGGAGACATATGGGAGTTGTCGGCTCGTAGATGAATTTGTCTGTTTCTTCCTCCTCTAGTACTAGCACCCTGTTCAGTTGTGACCAGGGGGAGGGAACAGTACAAGTCTTCTTTTCTCATCGCCTTGGACCATCTGTTGCCTGGGATTGCGGGTTCATACGCTTGTAAATCTACCTGTCCTCGCGTTGGGCTCACCACCTGGTACACAACCATAGGTATAGGCATGGCATTTGCTGAGGGATCACCCAATCCTTAACGCTGTATTGTCGGTCCTTTCTTCCATAGCACCCTGCCATGCCAGTGGGATTGCTTCACGGATCTCAGTTCTTTTTTCAGGTAAATTTTTTATACTTGACAGGTGCGATTTGAATTGCGTTTCAGTTTTCCACCTAGCAATTTGGGCATCCCTGTACACCCTTTTTTTTTTAACCAATGTCCTCCAGTGGGAGTCCTTGGAAAGGGAAAGGGGATTACCGGGTGTGTCTTTTATTTGGGGGCTTCCGAAAGCAGGCTACCCCCACACCTCATGCCATCTTGTCGGTGGTAGTTTTTTTTTTGGTCCCCTTTCCCTCCACAGGTGTATGAAGAAGGGTCAAAGTGGGTCCACTAGGATGTCCCATTTGCCTTGGTTTTGCGTGGTATCATCCCTCACGGTCCTAGGAGATGTTGGGATAGTCCAGTCTCTATTTGTGCGCCATTGTAAAGGGTGAACTGGTTTGGATGGGTAAGAAGGAGGGGCAAGATTTGCAATCTGAATTTCCGCATACATGGGGGATATCATTTCCCATTAGTAGGCATATTATATTATGAATTAAAGATTATTGCTTTTATTTCTCCCTCTGGGTCCATTATGCCTAGCATCCCCTCTTCTCCTAGACTGGGTTATCAACCACCAGGCAAACCATCTCAAACAATGCAAGTCTTCATGGTCATTTTCCAAAGATAGGCGGGGGCAGCCTGTCTTATCCTTGTAAGCTTTAAGCCACCATCCTTCTGTTTTTGTCCCCCAGTTGACCTTCATATCCGCTGCCATCTAAAAAAGAGGGATTATATGCAGCAGCACTTGAAGACTCTTCTCATTTGCCCTGAAAAGCACCATCAGATCGTCAGCGAGCAGTGATGTGATGGGAATTAAGTGGTGTGGCAATTCTGGTACTTTTATTCTTTTATTCTTTCTATGTTAGGGTTGCCCCTGATCATTGCTGCCAGGTCTTCCACTACCAAAACAAACAGCATAAGAGCTATTGGGTCACCTTGCCTCACCAATCTTTGCAGGGGCAAAGGGGGGCCAAGGTGACCATTTGCATAATGTTGGTTGTAGCGATCCTGTGGGAAAATACTTACCCAATAACAGAAGAAAGGGCTGAAGCATCTTTCTATTGTTAGGGTTTCCCCTTATCATTGCTGCCAGCGCTTCCATTACCAAAACAAACAACATAGGAGCTATCGGCTCACCTTGCCTCACCAATCTTTGCAGGTGACCATTTAGCATAATGTTGGTTGTAGCAGTCCTGTGGGAAAATACTTTACCTAATAACAGAAGAAAGTGCTGAAGCATCTTTCTATGTTAGGGTTTCCCCTGATCATTGCTGCCAGGGCTTCCATTACCAAAACAAACAACAACATAGGAGCTATCGGGTCACCTTGCCTCACCAATCTTTGCAGGACCAAAGGGGGGCAAGGAGACCATTTAGCATTATGTTGGTTGTAGCAGTCCTGTGGGACAATCCTTACCCAATAACAGAAGAAAGGGTCGAAGTTAATCTTTCTTAGGCATAGGTCTAGGAATTCTCAGTCCACATGATCATATGCTTTCCCGAAGCCAATGAAAGGCATAAGCTGCCTCTAACCTCCTCTGTCTGGCATATCTTATAGTTTCATCGACCAATAGGATATTTTCTTGAATATTTCGATGAAGCATAAATCTTGATTGATAAGGACGAATGACGCGAGACAGTAGAGGCAGCAGCCCATTGACCCAGGCCTTGGCTATCTCTATTAAAAACCAAGTTAATGTTATTTATGCAGCTGTCAAAGATATTTTAGTTATTTATTGGTGCAACTTTTTGCAACAGTGCTCAACATCCAATGGACAATCCTGAAAGGCTTGAGGCAAATTCACTTTTATTACCTACCTAGGACCTACCACTGCTCCTAAGCCTATACTGGGGACCCCTCAAATTCACTTTTATTACCTACCTAGCGCCTACCACTACTTCTAAGTCTATACTGGGGACCCCTATGCTTGCAGGGGTCCCCAGTATAGGCTTAGGAGCAGTGGTAGGTTCTAGGTAGGCAATAAAAGTGAATTGAGACAAGAATACAGCTTAGTTTAAGAGAGGGAGGGGGGGCGAGGGGAATCAAGCCCAAAACTGATTGAGGCTGCCCTCGGTAACTGGTTGAGGTTATTGTCAGCTTAGGTAATTGGCTGACAGTTACCATGGGCCGAAACCAGTTGAAAACGGCCAAAAACTGCCGGTAAGGTAGCCTGTGACGCTCAACCTCACGCCCTGTGCTGCTTTTCGGTCGGAGTGTTTTGGTTCGCAGAAAGGCCCGGGAAGAACAACAAAAATGGGGTGTGCCAAGGATTTTTGGAAAAGTTGAGTGTGGGGACAGACAGAACTGAGATCCCCCGTGTTGGTCCGACTTTAGTAAGAAGGGATCCCTCGCCGCACGGGTTGAGGAGAGAAAAAGGCGTGCGCAGGGCTCGCGCCGATGGAAAATTCAATCCAAAAAGTATCATTGTACTTCCCAGCGAGCCATTGCCCTACGTTTCGAATGAAAGGGGGAGGGTACACACGTAGTATCCCGTTTTCGGATGAGATCCCGTCGGCGTTCACTACACAATTCCAAATCCGACGTGGAAGGCCTCAATCGAGTGGCTCTCCCCTTGTGTTCGTCCTCGCCACGTGTGCGGTAATGGAAGCCTTTGGCTCGGTAACGCTCAGTGTAGCGACATTCGCTGCACAAAAGTGTTAGGCCAATGAGGCGCCACTGTCGACCACGGGATGACGTTCAACTCATTAAACGACAACAACAACGAATAAGGCAGAAAGTGTGCATCGACAATAACGAATCCCGCACCAATGAATCCGGAGCACTAGGTCTCAGGGGGAAAGTAATAACGTCCGTCAGTCTTAGCGACGGCTTCTCATACGTCCCATTCGCATACACATGTCCTTTCCTCATTGTACGGGAAGGGGCGTGGCGGGGGCACGAGAAGTCGACGCCCGGTCGGATTGGGGCAATCGGTCCACATGGCAAAAAGGGCAAAGCGCAAGATCTTTCCTAATCATGCATCATTTATTCGACGTACTACTCGATCCAATCCCGCGTTTCATCAAATCTATCAATCAACATCCCTGTCATGCTTGCACAAGTTCTCAGGCGCAATCCACTTCATGCACATATCAAAGTGAGAGGAGAGAAATCATCATAGTCCATCCATTATAGCAGAGACA